AATAGGGTCCCTGTGTTCCTGCAGGGTCCGCTATGCCCCCATGGGGTTCTCCATGCCCCTATGGGGTCCCCACGGGATCAGCATGCCCCTCTGTGGGGTCCCCATGTACCTGTGGGGTCCCTGTGTCCCCAGTGGATCCCCCTATATTCCACCCATGCCCCCAAGAGATCTCCATACCCCTGTGGGGTCCCCACACCTCTACCATCTCCCTGAGGGTCCCCCATGCTCCAATGGGAATGCTGTGTCCTGTGGGGTCCTCCATGCCCATACAGGGTCCCCATGTCCCTGCAGGGTTCCTTCTGTTCCTATGGGGTCCCCCACGTTTCTGTGGGATCCCTCTGTCCCTATGGAGTCTCCATGTCCCTTTGGAGTCCCTACGTCCCTCTACATCCCCTGGCACCCCCAAACCACCAAGAGATGTCCAGACTCCTACAGTGTCCTCACACCCCTATGGGGTCCCCACACCCTTTATGCTGACCCCATGCCCACCCCAGCTCTAGGCTGCCCCAAAATGCTGTTCCCCTGTGTCCCCAAGGCTAGGGACTGTCCCCCAACCTCACCCCGAGTGGTGCCAGCCCCTGTGTCCCCTTGTCCCCCCACATACGGGGCTCCTCAGGCTGGGGCCAGACACGCTCGGGTCTCCTCCTGCTCGGGGGCTTGGGGGGCTTCTGTTGCCGCCGGATGTACTCGACTGAGGACACAGAGGGTGGCCCTGGCTTTGGGGTGCAAGGTGGGGGGGACATCCCCTCCATCCCTCCCTGCAGGCCAGGGGACCCTGGTGGTCCTCCCACCTGCACCCCAGCACCGTACAGTCCTCGTAGTCCTCCCGCTCCAGCTGCTCATTGTAGTCCAGAGTCGGGGGCTCCGGCTCCTCGGGAAGCTCTGCAGAGAGGGGACACGGGGGGAAGGGGCACAGGTGGAACTGGGGTGCAGGAAGGGGACACCAGAGAGCAGGGAGGTGGCCCTGGGGTGCAAGGTGGTGGCACTGGGACTCAGGGAGGTGGCACCAGGATGCAGGGAGGCAGCACTGGGACACAGGGAAGTGACACTAAGGATTAGGGAGGTGACATAGGGGTGCAGGAAGGTGGCAAGTGGGAATAGGGAGGTGGCCGTAGGTTGCAAGGGAGTGGCCCTGGGGAGCTGGGAGATGGCATTGGGGTGCAAGGAGATGACATTTGGGGAGAGGGAGGTCGCACCGAGGCGCAGTGGGGTGGCCCCAGGCTGCAGTGGGGTGGCCCCAAGACAGGGTGGTGGCCCTGAGGGCTGGGCACTCACCTGGCTGGGGCTTGGGGTCCCAGTCCTCCCGGCCCAGCCCCCAGCGCTCACTCTGTGGCTCCTCCAGCTCCCCTGGGGACAGGGACAGAGTGAGGGGCTGGAAGGGCCCCTCAGGGTCCCAGCATGCCCCTCATCTACCCTGTCCTACAGCAGGAAGAGGAAGGTTAGGGGGACAGAGAGGGGGACTCCAGGGGGACAAAGCCACTAGGGCAGCTGAGCAGGACATGGGGTGATGCTCTGCTCTGCTGAGACCCACCACCCCAACACAGCCCACAGTGAGGGATGTCCCCAAAACTCACCTTGGCCACCTCCATCCTCTTCCTCCTCTTTGTAGTGTGAAGGCTCCAGGAACTCAGGTGCCCCCTCATCATCCTCGCCCCACAGGGGCTGTGGGGTGGTGGGGGGCTCTGGGGAGAAGCTTGGTGGCACCAGTGGCTTCTTGCCAGAGGGTTTGGTGGCCTTGGGTGACTTCTCCTTGAGTGGCTTCTCCTTGGGCTTTTTGGAACCTTTTGGGGTTTTTTCAGAGCCTTTGGGGTTTTTTTCTGAGCCTTTTAGGGGGTTTTCAGAGCCTTTCGGTGGCTTTTCCTTGGGTTTCTTGGGGGGTTTGCCCTTGCTCCGGTCCCTGTCTTTGTTTTTGTCCTTCTTGGGGCTCCGGGGTCTCTCCTTGGGCTTCTTGGGAGGCTTGGGGGGTTTTTCCTTCTTCCCCTTCCTGGGTTTCTCAGGCTCCGTCAGCGGCCCTGGGGAGTCTGGGGGAGGGAGGGGGCGAAAAGGAGGGGCAGCCGCCCCGAGGTGGGGTGAGGGACGGTGGGGCCGGGCTGAGGGGTCCCCCCCGTCCCGCCTCCCCCCGTTCCCCGTGGGATGGCGGTGCCGGTCGCTCACCGGTGCCGGTGCCGATGCTGAGGTCGGTGCCGAAGCT